CATTTCTTCATGTGCTTGTTAGCCATCTGAATGTCGTCTTTGGTGAAGAGCCTGTTCATGTCCTGTGCCCATTTTTCTATTGGATAGTTTACCTTTATCTTGTTGTGGTGCTTCTTTTCCTTAGTGAACCTTGTTGTTGTTAGGTGCCATCGAGTTGAGCACGACTCTTAGTGTAATGACCAAAAAGATCTGAACCCTGTTCTATCCTGTGCATCCTTCACATTTCTGATACACATGAGCCCATTGCAGCAGTCTCCATGTCAATCCACCTGGTTGAGGGTCTTTCCTTCGCCACCCCCCACCCCTTCCCAGCAGCATGTCCTCCAAGGAATAGCCCCTCCTAGCAATATGTCCAAAGTATGTGAGGCAAAGCCTCATCATTTCTGCCTCCAAAGATCACTCCTGTTGAATGCTTTCCAAGACATATATGTTTGTTCTTTTGGCCGTCCGTGTTGAGTGCTTTCCTCCAACACCACAGCTCAAAGGCATCAATTTTTTTTCTATCATCCTTGTTTATCTTGGGTTTCCTACTGAAACTTAGAAGTCCCAAAGTCAATTTCCCCTTCTTTGAAAACATAACTAAGATGTTCTGCCTGCAGGTTTGTCCCTACCCTAGGAGCACATCTATTAGAAAAGCAAAATAGACAATAGGTTACTATTAAAAGGCTCGAGAGAAATTGTGTTGGTATGTTGTTACCTGGATCTGGTATCTTCAATGATAGGCTATTAATACATATTTAATGACAAGTATCGTTTTGGTTGTAGAGAAAAAGCTCTTGATTTGCAACCACTTGGTTCTAACCATTTGGTTTGGTATTTCAATATGAAAATGTTTTTTAATTCCAGGTGTTTTCTCAAGGCCAACCATAAGGATTAGTAATTTTCACCCATCTGTGCAGGAAATGAAAACTCTGATCCTCTCTGTGGGTTATGTATATCCCGTGTGTTTTTTCTGTTAGTACAGCTGCCTCTTTCACATGAAGTCACAATGTAAATTACTTGAGCCTTGGGTCCAGATGTTTGGGCTATTGTAACCCCAAAACCAAGCTCACTGCCTTCGAGTCAGTTCTGCCTCACAGGTTTCTAAAGTTGTGATCTTGACTGAAGCATATATTCCCACATATTTTCCCTTGGGTTGACTGGTGGGTTCGAATTGTTGATTTCTTGTTAAGCAACTGAGCATTTGAGCCACTATACAACCAGGGCTCCCACTGTGCTGTTACGGTGGAGACTAATATGCACCTATAATTAGTTCATCCTATACAAGTCTCAAATAGACTCGCAGCTCTTAAAATTCCAGGTGCAGCAAATCTGATAAGGTTCTGTCACGAGGCACAACCTGAAGGCAGCCCCTAGGTTTTGGGTGTGTTGGGTTTTTTTTTCCTTGTTGCATACTGTTCAATCAGAACTGACTGGCATAGGAGATTCCCCCTCCTCCAGTGAAGCATCTGGTGGATTCGAACCTCGTGTCTTCAAGGTTGCAGTGCAGCTTCTTGCCACTAGGCCACCAGAGCTCCCTCAGACCATAGTTTTATAAGAAATTCACCTGGCCAAGCACTCTCTGGAACTGCGTTTCAGTGACTAAATACAAGCCTTCTTTCAGGTATGCTTGTGCATGTGAAGTAGTCATCTTTGCTGCTTTGGAGTCTTTGCATCCCGTTTTTTCACTAGGGTTTCATGTATTCATCCTTCCCATGGTGATCTTTTTAATAAATGGAAAATGTGCTATTTTGATGCTATGAAAAACTGGTAGGATGAGGTGACCTAACGCAGGTGAAATAATTTCTATAAAGGAGTCCTAGACTCTCCTGCCCTGTAAAAGGATTGCCTGCGAACCCTGAAGGATGACATTAGAAAGCTCCTTTATTTTAGTAATTGTGTAAATAGTAAATTGTGTGATTTAGTAAAAACTCTTCCAAGGTGGTTTTTTGTTTTGTTTTGTTTTTTTTGGTATCTTCCAAAGTACTTTGGAGAGCCTATATCAAGTGATTATAATTAATTACTCCTCTTAATCCTCTCCTTTACAGGTGAGGAAGACTAGCCAGTGCTAGAGTTGAACCTGTTATTGTTTGCCCTCCAGTCAGAACTGACCAGCAGATCCTGGAGAGGGTGGGGATGGGGGTGGTTTCAGAGGCAATAAATAGCACGAGAAGAGATTGCCCATCCTCCCACAGAACAGCTGCTGGTGGCCTCAAACCGCATGCCTTTGGAGTTGCAGTGCAGGTTCTTGCCACTCTGCCACCTGAGTTGAACCTAGAGGGTGGTAAGTGAATCTTTATTTCAGTGGCATGCCCTTCTCTTGCATTTTTTCTTCTTTTCTAGTATTTTTTTTTTTAATTTATTATTTTTGTGTGTGAGTGTACCGTCAAATCAGATCTGACTGGTACAGGAAGAGATTGTCCCTCCTTCCCGGGCAGAGCATCTGGTGGATTAGAACCGTGCGCCTCTGGGATTGTAGTCTTCTCTTGCATTTTATATGCCAGCTAGTAAATCAGTAGTAAAGAGTTCCAGCCTTTGGGACAGGCCATGTTCCAAAGAAACTATTGTAGCTGCTCAAAAAGGAGATTGTGTCATTTATCACAGCCAGGGACAGAAGTATTTAAGGGAGGGGAAATCTCCATTCTAGTAAGTGGCCTGCTCACTAAAGTTAAATGACCACAGCTAAGAACTGAAACTTTCAGGGAGAGGAATGGAGTGCTGGCCCAAGAAGGAATTAAAATGACAAAGACGTTTGCATTGCACTTTTTAATTGCACAGGTAGTTTTAAATAAATGGAGAAAGCACCTTCCAAAAGCTACGGCAGCAGGGAAAGATTCCATCAAGCATTTACACAGTAAATTTTTATAATTTTACAAAAAGATTCTTGATCTTTACTTGGACTGTACATGAGGGATCAGTCACCCCTCAGGTAGGTGTATTTTGCTTGCAGAAGCAAACTAAAGGACCTAAAATCAGACAAGCCTGGGACGCTGAGGGGGCGGGGGCGGAAGATGATGAAGGGCCATTAGCACACCCCATGTCTACTTTAAGACACTTGTCCAGTGACTTACTGTCTCCTTCATGTCTGCATGATTCTGTTTAAAGTGTTTTAGGGCAAACTACTACCCTTTAAGGTAGAAGCCCAAAGCTTCTGAAGGACTGCAATGTATCTGAGTCCTTTGTGCTGCTTGAGTGCCCAACAAAAATACTTGGGGTGAGCTCTGCATTTAGAACAAATACTTTAGAGTGTCTCTAGGACTGTACCCCCTCTACTTTGGCTTTTTGAGCACAGAGTGGCTTGTCTGCCATGCTCCAGGCAGTGATGTTGATACACAAGGGAAAGGGCGGTAAGTACTGGATCATTACTTAGACGCTAATTAGCTGGGGAAAGAGTTCATTGGCAAAAGTGTCCTCCCAAGAATGATCCACATCAAGGGGAGAGGACAGGTCGCTAAAGGGGGAAGGGGAACCCTCATATCCACAGTCACTGTAAGTATCCAGCAGGAAGGAAGATGGCTTCAGGCAGTGGCTGGTTGAAAGGAGATTTGAGATTCCCAGCTCTGGAATGAAGTCATCTTCCACAAGTTCTTCCTTCACTGAGATGGGGCCTTCAGGGTGATCTTTCTCTGAGGGGCTGAGAGGTGCTTCCTCCACTTTAACTACCACACTGGCATGGCTCTCTGTCTCAGAGGGCATCTCTAAGATGAGAGGCTTGGTATACACATGGTCAAAGCGAATCAGTTCATTAATGGCTTCCAGCTTGGCTGATGACGTCCCCAGTGATGAAGAAGGGGAGGCTGGTAAGGAACTGGGTCCTTCTGGGTAGACCTCTGGCAGTTCCTCCTGACTGGCAGACTCGGGGGCAAGATACCTGAAGAACATGACTGGGTCCATGTTGTCCAGAATGCCCAAAAGGATATCACACTGCAAGGAACAAAAGGAAAATTGAGTCTTAACTCTCAGAATGTACCTAGAATACTTATTAACCCCATCACAACTGTCTGCCTTCAATTTTCTGTTCAGGAGTGTCGAAGATTGTTTTACCCAGCTCTTCAATAAGTGGGTATGATTCCTACCTCAGAGTCTGAAGAGTCCACACTGTCAGAATCCATGGGGAGATGTTCTGGAGGAGTGACAACTGGGCCTGCACCTGCTGCAGAGGTGCACGTAGTCTGAGTGCTGCGGACTCAGCAGACCCGGCCACCGGCCTCAGTCCATTCCCCTGGAACGAGACCAAAATGAGTTAAGAGTCCAGACGGCCATGAGTCCTCAAGGAAATGCTAGCCCAACAATTATTCTCAACCTCAAGAAAGCTAAGGAATGATTCTTCATTTCTAGAGAGCTGGCAAACTTTGCGTTCTTTACCTTTGATTCCATTTTGACCCATTTTCTATCCTGTGCAAAGATTCAGGCCAAACTGCTAACTCAAGGTCTATAGGAAATTTCAGCTTGGATGCTTTTAAACAGTATTCTTTTCAGTTCTTGAACAATGCCACAGTAGAACTGCCCTGTTGTCAACCTCAGACTCGCACTCATGGGTTTAACCCAATTTGCCATCTATAAAACTGAAACCCATGTGGATATGACATTCATCAGAAATGTATCACAATGAATCACATCCTGACTCATTTCCCAAAGACCAACTATATATAGTTCTAATAGTACTTAAAGTCCAAATTAATCATCTCCCTCATTCTGGTTCTCCTTAACTGTGTTTGGCTCACTTTGCTGGGTATATTTTTTTGGTACTTTTTCAATTAAAAGATTTGTAAAAACAATTACAATTAGAAAATAAATATAACCATTTCCCATGCCAGGCACAAAATAAAAGCAGATCAGGTACAGTACCTTGGTCTCCGCTTCTTCTTCCTTAACAAGAGTGTCCATCCCCAAGCGCTGCCTTAATTCTTGGTTTTCAACTATAAGGCCATGGGTTTTCTCTCGCAAAAGCTGATTTTCTAGCAAAAGTTTCTGGTTCTAGAAAAAAGTTCATAAGGAACTATTAAAGCATCTAATCTTTTCATGTAAAACTTAAATGTTGGGAGCCTCATCTGCAATGTGGGTGTTGGTGGAATGGCCCCAGCAGCTGGAGGACCCACCCCCTCCACGTCTGCTGTTCCAGCAGAGAAGTGGGATCAAATTAACAAGCTCAAGAGGCTGATGGTGACATGATTTTGGTCTTTTTGACTAAACTTCAGAAGTGGGGGAAACCCCAAAACTAAACAAAGGAAAAATTGCTCCTGAAAGACCTGTAATAAAGCCAATTACTAATCAAAACTTTGGAGTTCTGGTGGCATAGCTGATAGGGAGGGAGTTGTTCTGTTAGCCCAAAGGCAGTGCTTCTCTGGCAGTTCAAATCCACCAGCAGCTCCTAGGGAGAAGCGCAATTGCCTGTGTGATTTATGGCATCCTGAAAATCCACAGTCCTGAGTCAGTTCTGACGCTACTGTAGTGAATGAGTGACTGAATCAAAAACTTTAATATGAAAAAGAAAGTAATAGGAATGGAAGTTCACTGCTTACGGGTGCTAAGTTCAGGGTAATGAATAAACACCATGTGGTAATGGAGAGTGGAGGAGGTTGCACTATTATCGTGATTAATGCCACAGAAATATTTAAAAATGGCAAATGTTATATTTGATCACAACATAACAAAAAACCCCAACACATATATTCAGGAGGTGTAATGGACAAGACAACAGAAGAAAAAGGGAATGTGTAGTGGACTTTGACCAAGCCAGGGAGTGTCTTAAGTTTAAGCAATGATTTTGTATCAGGCCCTGATAATGTCTTAGGGATAACTCGATAAAAAGGGAGCTCTGTGCTAGCCTATCTGTAGGAGCTGCCCTGCTAACCTAACCCAAAGGCCACAGGACGGAATTGAACTGCTGCATTCTAGAGGGCCTGAAACAATTTGGAATAGGCAACAACCATCTGAGAGCATTACTCAGAGAAGGATTCCCGAGGGCTTTAAGATAATCATTTGACCTCCAAGGTTTTTACCTCTTCTTCTAAATCCACCACTTGTTGTTCCAGCTCACTCATCCGCGCTTTCTTCCGGTCTCTGGCAGTCTGTGCGGCTACTCTGTTTTTCAATTTCCTGAGAACAGAAAGACTACATCATACTTGAGTCACCGCAAACCTTATTTATATTTTTATTTGAAAATCTGGCTAGCTGGCACTTTATGGTTTAAATCAGACTAATGGTAAAAAATACACTTCAAGGTCCTCCCCTTGAAAATAAAACAGTCTTTCTGTTCGTCCATCTGGCTATATCTTTCCCTTATTGCGTTACCCTGTCTCATGCAGACACAGGGGCTGGGCACATAAGCTTCTCTTCTTGCATCATAAACTCCCCCCACCCTGCTTCCCGGCTCTAATTCCCCTAAAGAGAATCCAAATCAGGCCTGATTAAATCTAAAAAGGCTGTACTTGCACCAAAACATTGGCTACTACTCCCTCCCTCCCTAAATCTCATTTGGATAAGAAAAGGGCTTGATGCTTTTTGCTTAGAACTGAGACCTGATTGCTGGGCCTGGATCGGCTCAAGGAAGCCTCAAATTGCACCCAGCTGCTATCCTAGCAAAGGCACAAGCAGCTTCGCTGAAAGTTCGAATCCATCAGCTGGTTATTACACGGGAAGAAAGATGGAAAATCTCCGCCTCGGAGATTCACAGCCTTCCAAAACCCACTGGGGTGGGGAGGTCACCATTGAGTGAATTTTAACGATTAGAGAAGTTGGCGCAATGGCCACGTCTCCGGCTTCTAAGGGAACAGTTCCAAGCCACCCAGTGCGACGTGGACAGCACAGCCACTGGAACCCAAAGGGGAATTTCTGTCACTTGGGGTCGCAATGAATTGGAAATCGACTCCGCCTCTCCTAACAAGAAGTAGTGAGTATATCATACGTTTGTCTGAATCTCTTCACCAACCACTTTAGGAAGCAGGACTATTTTAAGGACGATGCTCTAGACTGCCCTTTAACCACCAGTTTCAACATCTCAACTCCGAGCTTTTCCAGGAAAGCCGGTAAACCGAGGTCAGAGAGGTTAATCGATCAGATCTAAGGTCGCACAGTAAAAGGGGGCTTCTGTGTCTGCACCCACAGTTGTGGCCATCACGAAGGGTAAAGAAAAATGGCCTGGCCAGCCTCGACCTCCAGCCGGCGTGGCGACTCCAGGCTTCCTGCCCTGCCCCGCCCCGCCCCGCCAGCGCCACGCTGGCACCGGACGTGCCAGGTCACCGGCCTCCCAGCGCCGCGGGGTGGTCAGATCCTGGCCCCGCGCCCAGCCCTGTGCCCCGGCCCCGCGCCCTCCGGGTCCCCGCACCAGCTCCGGCCGCGCGCCGACCCCCGCCCACCTCCGCAGCGCCTTCTCTTCGGGACTCAAGTGCGTGAGGCGCTGTCGCTTGCGCGCCTGGGGCGGTCCCCCGCCCGCCGCATCCGGAACCATGAGCGGCAGAGCACGGCCGGCTGGGGCAGCTGCGGTGGTGGCGGTTGCGGCCGGCTTGCTGGACAGAAGCAGCATCTTGGGGGCCCCGGTGGCCGGACTCGGCGCGGTAGCCACCACCACCATGGTCAGAAGGCGTCTACACGAGAGCGCGCCTCCGCTGCCCAGTGGGGCCGCGCCCGGCGCGCCCAGCCTTTCTACGATCGTGGCTCTCTGTGATTGGCCAATACTACGTGACGTAAGGCAGAACTTGTCACCCATTGGTCCTTTCTTCCGGACTGAGGAGGGGTCAAAGAGATGGCCACTGCTGACCCCGGCAGGGGGAGTCGAGATCTCTGCCTCAGAAGTGACCAGTGGAGACCAGGCGAGGGGTCAGGGTCCCAGGGCTCAGGAGGAGCCCCAGGCCAGGCAGGACTCTCACGGGGACGGGCCAGACGAGCTGGAATTTCCTTAACAAAGGGACGCATTTCCCTGTCACAGGCTGACACATTTCACCCAGAATGACAGCAAAATCCCAGAGCGGCAGATCTCTAGCCTAATTGCTACGGAGTCGAACAAATTGTCATTTTGGCCTGACAATTTTATTTCGTGCGTCACGGGGAGATTTCCCAAGTGGGGAAAGAGATTCTAGAATTCTAATTGAGTCAGAAATTAGCCTGGAAAGAAATTTCCTGAAAGATGTTAGACCATCCTTAGGAACTGGGATCGTGCATTTCAAAATTATATCCAAATTCAAAACCAAACCCACTGCTCCTGAGTAGATCTTAATTCATGCCGACCCTCCATGTTAACAAAAGGGTTCACAAGGGGGATGGTCAGCCTGTTAGCAGCCCAGTGAATACTCCAACACTAGGCCAAGAAACACAGATGTTATCCGATATCTGATAGGAATACATGAGATTTTATTTTATTTGCATTTTCAACTTTATACTATAAGCACAGGTTAAGGAAAAGACACGTATAGAAACGAGGAGTGGGCATGTTCATCCTCAATCCTGTCGCCCCCACCAGCTGGGAGGTTCGAAGCTTTTGTCTGGCCCTTAGGGCACAATGTCCACATTTATGAAAGAGGCTGGGAAGATGAAAAATGACAGCAATTTAGACACAAAAATACTAAAAAGGAGGAACTTTGGGAAATATGCAAAATATGTACGTTCACTTTCTTGAAACAAACTGCGAAACTTCACCACTGGCCTTTCTGTCAGTTTGCCTCCTGTGGTGGCTTGTGTGTAGCTGAACGGCTGGAAGCTGTGCCACCGGTATTTCAACTACAGTCATCCGTGGTGGACAAGTTGCAGGGGAGCTTCTCGCTAAGACAGACTCCTTCAGGGTAAGGACAGCATTAGGGTCAGTGTTAGCGACAACCTTAGAGACAGCCTGAGAGATAAACAACCTTAGAGACAGCCTGAGAGATAAACAAGGTTAGGGACAGCCTAAGGGACACGGATAGTATTTTCTATTACATAAATAATAGAATGTATTACATATTATTTTGTAATTTCCCAGTTACTCAGTTCAAGTATATTTTCACATATTTCTTTGTCTTTTGAACTTCCTTTTCTCTGAATAGCTCTTCAAAAACTTTCCCCATAAACAAAACAAAACAAAACTTTCCCCATTTGATATGGGCTTCCTTGCCTTTTCTAATAAGTTTAAAGACTTCTTTGTACATTAATAATATTAATTCTTTCTCCTTCATCTTTATAGATAATCCTCCAAGTCTACAGTTTACATTTCCATTTTGTGTTAGTATCTTTGGCATATTTTTTTTTAACTTATTGTGTGCTGTCGAATCAGATCCAACTAGCACAGGAGGAGATTGTCCCTCCTTCTCCAGTGAAGCTTCTGGTGGATTCGAACAGCACATCTTCAGGATTGCAGCACAGTCTTAAGCATTTTAAACGCAGCAGAGTGGAATAATTTTTAAAAGACTTTTGAGTTTCCTATGTTCCTTGAGAAAATGATGACAAGAAATATGTTGGGGTTTTTTTTACAAGAAGTATGTTTTAAATACAAGATTTTAGATAGAGTCTCTTACATTTTTTTTCTCCTCTTAAATATATCTGTTATACACTGTTGTTGTTGTTAGGTGTCATCAAGTCATAGACAACTCCCAGCAACCCTGTGAATGAAAGACCTGAGCACTATTCATAGAGTTTCCAAAGGCAAGCCATTTTGGAAGTGGATGCCACTCCTGCTTCCAAGCTTGTTTTAATCAGGAAACTCTACCAAACACTGTCTACCATGGGTAACCATTATCACATCTGGCACATCAGTGTCACAGTGTTTAGCATCACAGCAACCAAGAGTTACCTCTATACAGCAATTCACAGACCAGTGCTATACCCTTAGAAGAATGTTTGACAAAAAAACAATCTGAACCAGGTCTGAGGGCTGCAGATTAAAACCACCTATCTTGGGCTTGGTAGCATAACTTTCTGTCCACTAGGCCAACATAGCTCTCTCTATGTTGTTGTTATTATTGTTAGGGTTTTAAGCCACTGCCTTTGAGCATCCTTAAACCCTAAGCCAAGCCCCAAGGACCTCACTGTTGGGGGGAAAGAGCAGTACTGCACATCAAACACAAGCCTGAAAAAACACACGAGTGAAAGGGGAGGGGAGGAGAAGGCAGCCAGTTTCCTGGATGACTCCACTCTGGGTGTCTGTGGCTTCTTTGCTGCCTGTGCATGGCGGTCTTTCATACACTACATTAGAACATATTTTACACATGTTATTGTTGTATACCATCAAGTTGGAACTGACCAATAATTGACACTGGCGGGGGTGGGGGTGTGTTCAGATGCAATTAATCCCACTGGGAGGAGATTGCCCATCTTTCCCAAAGAACAGATGGTGAACTCGAACCCTGTACCTTTGGATTATAGTACAGCTTCTTGCCACTAGGCCACCAGAGTGCTATACAAATATATATAAATATATTTTAACTTAATATATTTATATAAATATAGAAATCTTATATAAATAAGAGGTTTTTACATACAGATTCTCTTATTTAGTATGCTACATTCATTCTTGTATCACTAAAAATAGAAAATGAATGGTTAAGTTCTCTAAAAATACAAAGCATTCATGTATACTGAGCAAATAATTCAGAGACTTGGACTATATGAAGAAGAATGTGGCATCAGGACTGGAAGGAAGACTCATCAGCAAATTCTGTTATGCAGATGACACAACTCTGCTTGCTGAAAATGAAAAGGATTTGACATACTTACTGAAGAGCAAAGACTCCAGTATGGATTACATCTCAACGTCAAGAAAACAAAATTACATTCATTTTTTTTTTGAAAGTCAAGGGGGGGGAAGGCAAAATCCTCACAAATGAATCAATAAACCACGTAATGATAAATGGAGAAAATATTGAAGTTCTCAAAGATTTCATTTCACTTAGATCTGAAATCAATACTCATGGAAACAACCAAATTGAAGTCTAGGAATTCCACTGTCCCAGAAGGCCGTGGCTGGGGCTGCTTTATCTTCCAATCCTAAAATAATAAGAGGGCAGGGCTCTAGATAATTCTCAGGTGCTGAGTGAGTTTTACTAAGTTAAATGGAGAAACTCTGATGGTTAATGAAAAGATCAGCCAGCAATTGAAACCCACCAGCTGGCTCTGGGAGAGAAAAAGGTGACAACTTCCTTAAGATTGCTGTTGTTAGATGCCATCAAGCGGACTCAAACTCACAGCAGCCTAAGTACAATAGAAAGACCCCTTGCCTAATTCGATACCATCTTCCCAAATTGTTGTGTGTAAGCCGACTCTTGCAGTCACTGTATCAATCCATCTCGAGAATCTACACCCTTCATTGACCCTTCACCCTTCTAAGCTTGATATCCTTTTTCAGGACTATCCCCTCCTGTCAACATGGCCAAAGCATGTGAGAGAAATTCTTAGCTTTTTTGCCTCTAAAGAGCATCCTGTCTGCACTTCCAAAACAAATTTTTTTATTCTTTGACATTTTGTGGGATATTCAATACTCTTTCCCCACACAATTCAAAGGCATTTACTCTTGTTCACTCTTCCTTATTCACTCTCCAGTTTTCACATGTATATGAAGCAATTGGAAACGCTCTGACTTAGGTCAAGCCTCAGTCTGTGTAAGGATTACAGCCCTGGACGTCATATGTGGCAACCTCACTCTGTTTTGTTAGGGCGCAGTATCTTGGAGGAAGTGTAATGGGGATACTCCTTAGAGGCACAGATGGTGACATTTCCTCTCACGTGCTGTGTGTGGGCTTGCTGTCAGGAGGGACCAGTCCTTGGAAAAAGACATCTTACTGGGAAAGGTGGAAAAGAGAGGAAGACCCTCGACCAGATGGATGGACGCAGTCACTACAACAACAGGCTTGATCTGGAGGAGATAGTGAGAAAGGGAAGGGTGGAGGGTAGGGCAAGGCTCCCATCTATTGTTCAGTGTGTGTGTGTGTGTGTGTGTGTGTGTGTGTGTGTGTGCGCGCGTGCGCGCGCGCACGTGCTAACAGTAGTCAGGTTGGCAGCACAGTACAAAAGCATGAGATGTAACCCACTGGTTGACAATGAGTTTGGCTTGGAGGTATATTAGGCTAGTTCTTCAATTACATTTTAACAGGGTGAGAACAAGACAGGAAGAACGAACTAAAGTTTTGTAATCTCTTGGTATCCATATCTTTTAAAGTGACACCGTTCTTGCTGTTCTCAGGAGTAGGCCATGAGAGTTCCGACATGGTTTTTCTTTCTGGATGTTGGCAGACGCACATCAGCTACTATTTATTTAAGCAGGTCTGGCCCAGCTCTGGCTGTTTGGAGTACAGACTTTCTGTGGGCTGGGAAAGAAGGCGTCAGCTCCCACAGGACAAACAAGCCATCTCTGTTTTAACTCTCACCAGTCTTGAGCTACTGGGTTCCTAACATACCCCTACATGTCAAGAAGATCACTCCTGGCCACTAAGACTCTTGGGAGAATCTTTTCTGATGCCTTGTGTTTCAGACTTCCGGTTTAAAATGATTAATGGACCTTAAATGATGGAAATAACTGTTTAAAAGGAATATAAGATTAAGCATTATACGTACAACAGCCCAGAATAGAATAAGAGGTACATTGTAAAGAGGACTAGAGTGGGGCAGGGG